GTCCGGGACAGAGTCTTCTGAGGCGTGCGAGTTGGTCGTAAGAGAATGGTTCCGGAGCGAAACCTTCCGGAGTGAAGGTGTTCTGAAGCAGCGAATTTCGGTCCGGAGCATGCGAGATCTTCCGGAGCAAAACAAGAGGTTCTGAAACTGCTCTTCCCATTCCGGACCAAAATGAAAAGTTCCGAAGTAAGTTTATCCGGAGCACATCAAAGGCTTTCGGATGCGAAATGGTCCGGATGAAAGGGTATTCCGGAGTCAAGAGGCTCTTATGTGCGAAAATGCTCGGTTCCTTTAGGAGGTCCGAAGCTTCCTAAGGGTTCCGAACCAGGTTTGCTCCTTCACGTTTTCTCCTTTCGTTTTGAGTTGATTTTGACTAAGGAAAAACTACATAGGAAGATTTGAGAGAGATTTGAGATACATGGAGAGATTTGAGATACATGGAGAGATTTGGGAGAGATTTGAGATACATAGAGAGATTTGGGATAGATTTGAGATACATAGAGAGATTTACATTATACAATACATGGCTCATAAGGAAATCATAATATAACCTTTAATGCATTGATACAAGCCTTACAACAATTTGTGCTTACATGAGAGCAGAATTTCTTAGCTAAAAAGGCTAGTGGTGACAAAAATGCACAAGAACACACCAAAATTCTTCACAAGAGCTCAAAAGCACCAAACAAAGGCTAAGGGCGAGATTAGGGTTTTGAAGATATGGAGGCTGGTCTAAAATGGCTAAGACATGAGTTTAAGATGCTTAAATAGGGCACAAACCCTAAAAATTAGGGTTTGTCCCAGACCTGCGTACGCCATGCGTACGTGGATGGGATCCGCGATCATTAGGAGGCTAGTACGCTAAGCGTACTCATAGAGTACGCCTCGGGTACTAGCAAAGGACCAAATTAAAAACAATTTAACATAAGGGACTAAAAGAGGAAATTATCCAAACTTGGTTGTTACACAAGGAGTCCTATTTATAGCTTAGGTAACTTGTAGATGAATCCAAATTTGAGTTAATTAAATAATATATTTAATCTAGTTCAAATTCTTTCCTTAGCTGCAACCGTGAGGCTTCTAGAAACCCCTAGGAATTTCTCCAAAACCGTCCATACCATGGATGGTTCTAGAATTGTTTTCTTTTGTTAAACTATTGAACAATTACAATTCATCCATTGCACCTTTAATTAATTCCAATTAATCTAGAAATTAATTCCAATTAAATCTGATTAATTCTTAATTAATTCTTATTGATCTCATATTAATTTATTAATCATATCATAAGTTAACAAATCAATTATTTAACTATTGATCTCATATTAATTTATTAATCACATAATAAGTTAACAAATCAACCATCTATTTCTAATTAACATATTAATTATATAATATATTAACAAATCATTCCCTTTCTCTCATAATATTATTTTTAGCTATTTTTGGTTATGAGGGCAACCCGAAAAGTACTTTGCTTCTAATTACAAGAATATGCCAATTTAGTTATAGGCTTAGACACCTTAATCCAACAAGTCTAACATAAGAAATGATTTCTTGCCCAATACTGGGGATGGATTTGCTTAAGCCAGACATATGCTTGCCTATCATAAAAATTTAACTCTCTCATCACATTTCCAAACTCTAATATGGTGGTGTTTGTGGCACACTTCCATATGTGGTCCATATACTCTCTACTTTTCTAAAATTTCCTCATCTTTTCATATATATGTTTGAGACAATACCTAAACTCATCATATGGATATAAAAGATAGGTGTTACACCCTATGTATCATAACAACAAAGGTTCATTAGTATTAGTAATTAATAATAGTGGAAAGCAAAAATGGAAAACAATTACCCTATTTATGTCACTAATAAAAGTGAAGTTATAATTTAAAGTTAGGTTCAAGTCATCCCCAAGACATTTCGAAAACCATTTATAGCTTGATGTGTTCTCAACCTTAATAATGACATATTCTAGGGGATATATATGGCATTATTTGAATTTAACCCAACTAAAGTTAGAATATGGCCACATAATGATGCTTTCATAAAGGCACCATCTAACCCTTAAATATCTCTCATCTTAACTAAACCCTTTTTTTAAAGGACATACACATACATAAATCCTTTTGAATTCCCTAGTTGTTAATGAAATATAAGGCTTATTAACAACATCAAGTTTGACAGATTCATAACCCTCATTGCAAATCAAACATGCTGACTGGAAAATGTGGACATAGTCCTAGCTGTGGGCCTGATCAGAACCCTCATCTAATAACCCTTAATACGTTTCAACATAAACTACAAGCCATGTACTTCTAGTTGTTTGAGCCCTAATTAGAGAAGTTGTGCCACATGGGTAATCTATTTATTTGATATTTTCATTCAAGTTCCTTTTTTTTTTTTTAGTTTTTTTTAGTTTTTAGTTGTTATTTTTTTCAAATTTGGGCAATTATTTATTGATTCAATTGTTTATTACTTCATTTGTTTATCCTTTTATTGATTTACTTCTTATAGTTTATTATATATTATGCATGATTCGATTATTTGTTTCGTGTTGTGTGATGTGGCTCTTTTAGGTTTAAAGCTGTTATTTGATAAAGATTTATTAAAGAAGTTTACTTGTTAATACAAATATTGATTGTGTGTTATACATATGAATTATTAGTTGGAAGTTAAACTTATGTACAACAAGTATTGCTATATTAAATATATTATATTACCTTTAATATGAGATCTTTATCAAATTTTTACTCAATCTATCTATCTGTATATTGTTGTTTGCATAACCTTGTGTATCATCGTCTATAATCATTAGTATCATGATTCAACTTGGAATTTCATAAGTTTAATCATTTCCATAAAAATGGATCATGAAAAAAAAACATTGCAATATGAAAGAACTTGAATTTGTACATCCTTAAGTACCACTAATTCTTATATCTTCAAAATGAGTTCGCTTTTAGTCTTTTTTGAATTTATTTATTGCATTTTAGGTTATTAAGCATTTAAAAATATAATGCCAGGGTTTCACCTCTAAGTATGTATTTTTGGAGTCTATAACTGCTTTGGTTATGTATTAGCAATGACAAAATACTTGCCTTGTCATGATTGCATCTAAGACATGACTTAGGGGTTGTTTGATAGTTGCTGATTGAGTCAGATCTGACTGAGTTAGAGGTTGAATGAGTCAGAAACACTGATTGAGTCCGTTTTCTGAATAAAACTTGATTGTTTCATTATACATCTGACTGACCCTACTGAATGACAAAAATGACCATATTACCCTTCTATTTTTATCTTATACCTTATATCAAATAAAATGTATCTGCTTGAATTATATACTTGAGCTTGCACAAACAAAATATTTTTTTCTAATCATAAAAATAAAACAAAAGAAAAGATAACGATAATTGTAAATTATACAATATGACAAATACCCTATATATAAAAAAAATTCAGATAACATGTTAAAAATAAGGTTGCTAAAATAAATCAAATAAATAACTCTATTAAATATAATATTAGGTGTTTCTAAAACAAAAACTATAACCACTAACCTAATCCATTAAAGTCCCCTAAATCCATAATACAAACACTTTATACAAATACCTAATCACAATTGCCTTTTGGATCTATAAGGAAGCACGTAAGCAACTGACATCAGGACATTTGAAGGATTGAGCTATGCAGGAGCATCCGTGTCTCTATTCTTGTCTCTACAAATCCTCGATTTTTAGGAAGGATGAAATATATCTTAAATTTTTTTTGTAACAATCTCAAATCGATGGTTCATGATCGATACATCAGAAAATTTTCTTGTTTCTTCTTCGATCTAATATGTTAAATTATTTTCTGATTTATCACTTTATGTTTCCAACTTCATCAACTTGTTCATTTTTTAATCTACTAAATCGATGGCATCCTTGGCCTAAGAGAAATTGGAGGTGGAAGGAGTTGTCGACCATACCTGAGACTGAGAGAAAATGGGTTGTGTGTCGGTGATTTTAGTGTCACCATGTCATTTTATGTAACTGGAATTAACATGTGAGCTAAGGGACTTCATAACTTGTATTCTAATATATGTACGGGTTTGTGTGGAGTGCACGCATGTATAAGATCAAATTAGAAGCCAGTTTGACGACAAGTCAGGGGTCCGGGGGCATCGCCCCTTTGGCGGGGTCTAGGGGCAGCGCCCCTAGCGAGGTCCAAGGGGCAGAGCCCCTGGCTGGGGTCCCAAAGCAACTCATGAACGACCCAAACCTAATGAAACCCTAATCTCATTTATTATATAAACGATTCTTCCTTCTCAGAAGAAACACACAAAATTTAGCTCTCATATTCTTCAAACTTTCACAGAATATTTCTAGCAATTTGACTTACGATTTCTGTGCCTAGTATAGTAAGTGTCCGCTTGGATTATCCTAGGCTGAATTTTTTTACAACCCAGGCATAAGGTAGAAATATCAGTTCGGAAAGTGTTCTCACGATCCAAGTAGGTATCCAGATCTCCACCACAAACCCTAGTTTTTCTAACATTGTGGACATGAGAAGGAGAGAAAAGGGAATGGAGGGTATTTGTATCGGTCAACTATATTTTTTTATTGACCGAATCAGATGATTTTCAATGATTGAATTAGAAGTATGAACCTGGTAAGAGACTTTGAGTGTTGTTATCAAACATCCTGACTGGACCGAGTCAACCAAATAGTCTGACCTAGTCAATAAGAAATCAAACAAGGCCTTACATTATTGTAGTTGTATGTTATAATTTTTGGTTTGTTGTAGATGTAATGTAAAAACTTGGGCACATTTTTATGTTTACCTAGAAATAAAAGGTAAATTAAGGGACCAAACCTACAAAAATTGGAATTTTTTTAGACCTTTTCCACGTGTGGGACCAAATTTGAAGTTCACTCCAAAAATAATTTAAAGAGCTTAGGGTTCATTATGTAAATAGTTGAACAACAAGGGGTCGTTGGAAAAACCCATAAACATGTAACCCCAACAAGATCCGAAAAGAAGTGTGCCCGAATTTCATCACAACCTTGTCTCTTTTATACCGAGAGAGGCGTTTAAAATTGGGCGTAATAGCTGAGGGTTGAAGCTGCTGATTGAAGTTGATTCATCGTTGAATCTGATCCGTTATCATGGATCTGAATCCGGTTTGTTTCCAGAATCTCTATTCCTTTTTATGGTGCCGTGTAATGCAATAAGATTCATGTAATACTGGTATCTGTTCGTCAGATCGGAATTTTGTAAGGGAAGTTTTGGGGAAACAGTGTTTTATCGTGTTTGTTGCTTATGAAAGTTCTTGATTTACGCATTTCAAGTAATTTGATTGTTCACTTAGGCATGCGATTGACTAATTCTATCATTGATTTGGGATGTGACTGATATCATGAAATGTGATGTTGGCATTTATTATTATGATTGTATAGCCGTAGATCTTAGGCAGTCGCAAATTTTCCTATGTACATCATTGCACGCCATAATGATTTGATGTTGAATTATGTTCAGAATAGATAGAAGGATATGGTATTCCATCTGTAGTCATGATGATTTCACAGACGTTTCCTTTTGTGTTCTTGACAAAAAACTGCAGATGACACTATAAACCCATAATATCGGTATTTGGTAACCATGTATTGATGTTTAAGCAAATTACATGTTGCTTCATGTGGCCTTCTTCCTTGACAATGTAGCATTTTGGTCTTTTTGAATCTGAATCTATGTTCAGGCAAACTCCTAATTTAACATCTTTAACATTATGTTATTGAACTATATTATGAATTTAACCACCAAAACCATGCTTATTAAACAACCCTAAATTTATTCTGCAAATATGCCAAAAGAAAGGTTGGATGTGTTATATGTTCTAGAGGTAGTGAATTGTACCTATTTATCTTCCCTGTTTCTTGTATGTTGTAATTGCTATACTATTTTACTTGTTTTAGAATGGTGAAAGTGAAATTGATAATCTTGATGTGTATATAAGTCTACTTATTGTCTTTTGTACTCAGCCTGCAGGAGAAAACTATGCAAACCCAAGGATATGCTTCTTTCATGTCCTCTTCAAGGTCTAGTCTTTTCCTTGTTTATCTTTTCTTCTTCTTCTCATTACATTTCATTTAATAGTAAAACTCTTTCTTTTTTTGTAAAATCAGGCTGGAGCTTTGGCGTTTTACATACTATCAGCACTGTTTTTTGATAGTTTTGTGATAATATTTGTGGTGACTGTTCTTCTTTCTGCTCTTGATTTTTGGGTGGTGAAAAATGTGAGTGGTAGAATCTTAGTTGGTTTGAGGTGGTGGAATGAAATTGATGACAATGGTGAAAGTGTCTGGAAATTTGAATGTCTTGATCAAGAGGTATGCATTTTCATTTTTTTATATTCTTGGATGAAGTGTGTTCAAAAACCATTTGAGAAAATGATGAGGGAATGGAAGGAAATAAAATAATCGAGGGCAAATTTGTAAAAAGTCAAACTTAATGGGTCTGAAATGAAATGTTATATCTTTTTTGTTTTGTAGTCGTTGGCTCGAATGAACAAAAAGGATTCATGGCTGTTTTGGTGGACTCTTTACTTGACTGTAAGTGAATTTATTCCCACTTTTGTAAGACTTTTCTCAATTAATTCATATTGACGAAAAAAAATAATAATAATAATAATAATTTCTTTATTGTTATTTTTTTTTGTAGGCGGTTGTATGGATATTCTTTGGAATATTCTCTCTGATAAGATTCCAAGCTGATTATCTTCTTGTTGTTGGAGTTTGCTTGACACTCAGTGTTGCAAATATTGTCGGCTTTACAAAATGCCGCAAAGGTAAACCAAAACCAATTTCTTTCTAATTATAGCAACATACTTTTAATGTTACTCATGATAATTTTTCTATTTAAAAAAAAAAAAATTATAATTCAGATGCAAAGAAGCAGATTCAAGCATTTGCATCACAGACTATTGCAAACCGGTTCCAGTCTACGTTACAGTCTGCATTTAGTGTGGTGTGATTTTGATTTTCATATACAAAAAGAAAAAAGAAAAAAGAAAAAAGAAAAAAGTTTGGTTTGTTATTGTACTTGTTTTGATATACCATAAATTCCAGTATTACTATTAGTGAACGTTTTACATTTTTATTTGGTGACTGTTTTGAATGTAGTTTTAAATATATTATTTTGAATATTTGAAATACGATCAAAATTATTTGACATAAGTAATTGTATATATATTACTAAATATTTGAACAACCATCAAGATATCCTAGTGTTTTATCTGGTATAAAACAATCTAAAAGGGAGTTATCCAGGTTTCATGGGATGATCTGATCTGATTTAAATAAACAATAAAAAACTAAATATTTGAGGTAAATATACATGATACATGCCTTGAATTTTTTTTTTTCTAATATATAAAGTCAAATATCTAATAAGAATCAATGATTATGTAAAACGATTGTTACTATTTAGCAAATTTACAGTCAACTTGGAATATATGAATTTGATATGTAATAAGTACCACAAGCGTTAATAATCCAAGTAAAACAATACGATAAAAATCTGTATGTAGTACATAAATAATTATAAACTTATAAAATACGTAGGTAGAAGCTTTTGCAACGCATAAAATTAAAATATATTTTTCAAAATTGAGCTATTACTAAAAAATCAATAGACAATATAAAGGGAAATTAAGTAATCTAACTATTACAAATGGGGTTTTCAAAAAAAAAAATCATTATTTTTCAATTTTTAAAAAATAACTATTTTCTCTAGAATGCCGAGTAATGTTCATGTTAACACTTCTCATATTTGAAGTGCCGCATCCAAATGAAATTAGGACCAAAAAACTAAAAAAAGACCATAAAGTACATGCATAGTATGTTAAATTAAAAAAAAAATATTGATAATAATATAACATCAATCCAATTTTTAAAACTATAATAGCGAGTTCTGATTTTGAACAACATTAGAAATACAACGATTATATTTTGAAGGGTAATTTAGTAAATTTGTTAGTTCTGATTTTGAACAAAAGTAGAAATACAACGGTTATATTTTTAAGGGTAACTTAGTAAATTTGTTATAATACATAAGAGTTTTTTCTTTTACTCAAGTTTTTTTTAAAGAAACTAACAGCTAAAAGCTCCCAAAAGTTGCGAAAACCCGTTGTTGAACGAGCCCTTAACGAGAAAACCAGACACTTATGCAATGCAATGCAATGTCTAACAATTACAAAAGCACAAGGGAAAAAAATAGAAAGTGATATACAAAACTTAAATCCTATACCTTACTTGTGCTCATTATTAGAACATATGTCTTAACAATTACAAAAACTCAACATAGCATATCAATTGGTGAACATATACCATGTTTGCAAAAAACAAAGTCAAGTTTACAAAATAACAAATGAAACATCAAAATCATGATCAAGCACTTAACTTGTTAACCCTAAAAGAGGCCATAACTTTACGAAGATCATTCTCTTCTTCTACAAATACATTTTCAGGCACTTGTAGTCTCAATTCATATAATTGATTGTTTTCAACTCCAAGAACCGAAAGATATCTCCTATTCCATTCCATACGCACCACTCTATCTTCTGGCATAACAGCCAACTCATTATTGCTAGCAAACGACTTTATGTTTACCTAAACAGAATAATACCCAAAATCAAAGAGCTGAATTCAACATTTTTGATTTGTTTATGATAACATCGTGTAAATAAATCAATGAAAGTAAAATGGTAGATATTTCAAAGAAACTAAAGTATAGGATGCTATAATTCATTGGACTTAGATTTTGGAAGAATCTAACCTCAATTTGGTAATACATCTTCCCATCATCAGCAACTGTAGAAGAAGTAGAGAGAATACTTGATTCGCGCTTCACCCCAAGCCTAGTAGACATGAATTCTGTCAAATACTGTCTAAGAACAGCCTTTCCTGCTTCTTCAGGTGGACCCAAATCTTCTACACTCTTGTATTTCGATGATGAAGGTGAGGATACTTCAACAGAGAGGTTTTCGTCAAGAACATAAGGGTCTCTGAAGAATATGTCAGCATTTGCACCTCGAACTTGAATCCAGTTTTTAGGATAATCGAATGAGTACCCATCAAACGAATCTATATATTCCTTGAATCCTATAGTTGGTTGAGCAAATGCGAAATTGCTCTCAGTTTGTGAGAATAGGCAACTGGAAAGGATCAAGGTGCTCATCAAACTCCTCCTTGGAACTACAAAAGCTTTAGTCTGATTATATATTAGAAGAGCAGATAATGAAGGTCGAATGCATTTTTTATACCATCATAATTGAAGTCAAATCGATTCGTATTGATAATCATGGCGTTGGAATTTGGAATTGAAGTAGGGTTGTTGATGGGATAGATAAAGTATTAGAGAGACTTACGGATTGCAGGTTGCAAGAAAGAGAAGAGCAGGAGGCGGAATTGGAATTGGAAACCATAGCAAATGGAGCGACACGTGTCGGCAGCATCAGCAGGGCGGTGTGGGCGGCGGAAGAGAGGAAATGAGGGGGAATTGAGCGGAGGACGGTGGCAGTAGGAGTGGAAAGGGGTCTGAAACCGAGATGGTCTACCATGGTTACAGCCATCCGACTGGATTTTGTAGAGATAAGAAACCAGCGAGGGTGTGTATATATACCGGGGTTTTATCAATGAAATGCCCACTTACTTTTCAAACATCAAGCCACATCGTTTTTATAAGAACAAATTAGGTCATTAAGTTTTTTTTTTTTTTTTGCTCTCTCTAAAGTAGTCCTTACGAAACTTTTTTCTCTTAGATGATACCTACGGAACAAACCTTGCACACAAATGAGCCTTATGAGTAACTTTATTAACAAATTCTGTTAAGTATGTGACAACCCGAAATTTTTTGCCTTGTAAGTCCAACCAGTCAATTCAACTGAGTGTCAGACCTATTTCTGCTATCTTTTAGCATTGTTTAGAGTCTGTTTAAGGGTTCAAAGCTCAGTACATTCAAGCATTGAGTATAGGATTGAGTTGCTAAAGTTCTTCGCGTTGAAATTGAGCCGAACACTCCATCCAAGGGAGTGTACGGCCGTACACCCATGCTGACCGTACACCCACCCCCATATGTAGAGTATGCCTTCATTTCTCTTCATTCCTCACACTTCTCACTCAAGAAATCGAATTCTCTCTCAAGTATCATCGAGTTCTTCATCCTAGATCATAAAAAACGTAAGTGTTTCTTCCATCTTTGAGTTGTTATCCTTCTTAATCATGAATCACCCTTTGATTTCATCCATGCAAATCATCTTTTTGGGTAGATCTTCAAATCTTCATCCATTTCACCAAGAACACACACTTATTCTTGGTGGCTGTGAACCCCCTTCAAGCCTCAAAACGTAAGTATCATTTCCTTATGCTTAGAATACGTTAGGGACTCTTGTTAAACACCTTAGAATCGACCAAAACTCAAGAACAAAAGGAGTGTACGGCCGTACACCCTTGCATGGCCGTACACCCCTCAAAACACCGCAAAAGGGCCTCCAAAATGCCAACTTAGTTCATATTCCTGTTGAGCATTAGACCCACTAGCTTTCCCATTGCTCAAAGACCCTTTTGTGCATAATTTACCATGAGTGTACGACCATACACTCCATGGCCGTACACCCATGACCGTACACTCCAATTTGTGGCTGTACACACCCCTTTGATGAATCACATGTGATTCTAACACTTAGTCCAAGTGTTTCCTAGTCCCTAAGGGTGTTTCCTTGCATGTAGTTGCTTCTAAACACTATATTCATGCCAATATATGCCATTATATGTCATTTAGGACTCGTTTGTGTCTCAGGACTTCATTCGTGAAACTTCTCATCCTTACGTGCATATTCGATTAAATCACCCACATTAGGTGAGTTCATACCCCTATAATCAATCTTTTAAACTGTTTTAAATGCATTTAGGGGGGGGGGGGGGAATATAAGTTGAACACAATGATAACTGTGTAAATGTTTTGTGATAAACATCATTTCAAAGGATTGCTTATGTTTATAAAGTGATCAAATTGTTTCAAAAGCTCTTTTTAAGTTATGTTACTTTATTGTTTATAAAACTCCATTTTTAAAGTACAATCATAACTCAGTAGATAAATGAGTCTTTTCATCAAGTCAGTAACAGTTCAAGTAAACACACTAGTAAACTATAATAGGTATAGTTTAGGAGTTCAAACATACTATAATGAGAAACAGGGAGGAACATACTATATACTATACAAAGAGAACACACAATACATTAAAACAGAGAGAACATACAATACTAATACAAGAATACTATAACATTAATGTGAGCCACTACTTCACGACTTAGCAATATACTTGCTAGGTTGCGTTTTGTAACCAGAGTCTCCTGGAGGGAGAGCATGAGTTTGTGTATAGATCTATACGGGATTGACACCCCACACCTTGCTGCTAGCTACAGTGGGACTTGCAAGTCTATGGGTGACAATATTACATCAGTTTCGGCGCCATTAGGTCGTCGTGGTAAAAACACGTGTCATATCAGTATGGTTATAATCACATCACATTTTTAACCTTAATTAACAAATTGGTTTTAAGGTAGTTAGTGCTCCAGTAGTCACTTTTTACAAACATTACTGAATACTTTCGTTATTACAAAGGACGAACAGTACAGTCGAGTCTTAGTACATTCACTTAGAAAGGGGCCTATAATGCTAACTTTATGATTCCTTAGTGCATACATCAGGGATATATATTAATCGGGTCCGGCAGATAGTAGGATGTGTGCTTTCCGCTTCATTTCCTGTTCCTTGTTTGGTTGTGGGCTTAGAGCAGATTCACCCAGTCTACTACCTATTTGATCTTAGCTATGTATATATTCCGTATACACTAAGTAACAATAAGGAGTACCAGATATGGGTCAGGTCATAGTACACTAATTCAATACACCGTTTTCTAGTACAAAATATACTTTTCAAGTAGAATATTTAGTAAACAAAACTAGAAACTTACCATAAAAAGGGTTTAATCCATTTTATTAAACCAATATAACTTAAAGGACCTTAGGTGGTTAATTCTATAATACCTTAGTTTATATATCAGGGTTATATATAATTAATACCCGATAGGTAGTTAGATGTGTGCTTTCCGCCTTACTTCATGTTCCTTGTTTGGTTGTGGGCTTAGGGCAGATTCACACAATTAACTATCCGTTCGATCTTAGATTATATATAGCCTATATAAACTAAGTGATTATGGAAGGAACTATTGTGGTTACTATTTTTACTAAAAGAAATAAGGGTTTTCTTAAAGAATGTTTTCATCAAATATAAAGGAACTATTACGGTTAACTCCGTGAGTACCAAGTGAATACGTCAGGGTTATATACAACGATGATCTAACAAATAATGGGATGTGTGCCTTCTGTTGGATTAATGTCTAAGTCCATAACTATATTTGGTATGTACTTGACCCGACCCAGCATGGTCCATTTGGGTTGCACTTCACCGACACAATTTATATGGATAGTCTTTTGAGAATAGTATATTTATGATTTATATTAATATATTATAAGTTCTAATATATTAATAAGGAATCATATTATTTAATTAGTATTGATCAAGAATTAATTTAGAATTAATTAAGTGATCAAAAGGAACTAATTAAATATGGACTCTTATATATATATATATATATATATATATATATATATATTATATATATATATATATATATATATATATATATATATATATATAGAATGAGCCAAGTTCATTTAGGTTGGGCTAAGCTATCATGGATAGTCCATGGAGTTTTAACCCATGGATCCTATGAAATGAAAGGTCATGGGTATTAGGGTTTACATGGATGTAACCCTAATCCTCCATACTATATAAAGAGGCCTTTGGCACAAGAAATGGACTAGTGTGTGAAAATAAGAGTGGGCCAATTTTAGTGTGCATACATATTCTCTCAAGTTCTTCCAAGGTGTTTTGGAGAATTGTGATTCCATTTGAGGATTCCACACTATTGGGGCTAAGCTCTTAAAGCTTGAAGACATCAAGCTACATCAAAAGGTATGTCATCCAACTAGAACTTTGTAGTATAGGTGCTTCATAATATGCTAGTTAGGATGAAACCTTGGAATAGTTAATATTTGCATGTATAATAGAGAAAACATAGATCTAAGGTTTATAGGGTTGCATGTACACCATAGGAGTGTTAGAATCCTCAAAACCTAACAGTGGTATTACAGCCATGAGTTGTTTTCTGTTATATTGATGCAAATGTTTTATTTTCAAAGTTGAAAAAAAAAACATGACGTTTGTCAAATTTTAAGATAATTACTTGTTTTTGTGAAAAACTAATTATTAGTAAAATTTGAATCATTTGCTATATGAGTTGAATTAGGTCAAATTTAGTAAAAGATAAAATGATATGATTATTTTATTATTTTTAAAAGTTTGATCTAAAGAGTTTTTTGAAACCTCCATAAGTTATGGATATTAAAAGGTTTTAAAAAAAATTGATTCAAAGTTTTTTTATGGAGTTACAAAACTTGGTCTTAATGTTTTAAAGAATTCCATAACCTGTTCTTAAGTTATGGAACATGAAAAGTTTCATCATAAAACAAACATTAAACTCCATAAGTTATGGAATCTAAAAGTTTTCAAGAGTTACAAAACTTGCCCTCAAGTTTTGAAATTTGGAAAAAGTTTTTTATGAAAAAAAAAAGAATTGAATTCTAAAACTCTTGGGTTCATAACTTAATTTGAATTTAATAATTGGAATTATGATGTTTTTATTGAATAATTCAATTAACTCTTATGGACTTTATTAATAGATAATTAAAGTGTTTAATTAAAAGAGAATTAATAATTCCATAATGACATGGTTTAAGATTAATTAAATTAAGAGTATAGTTTAATTAATAGATTAAACCACCAAGTATTTTAAATGTCTAAAATACACCCTTATACTATTATAATATTAAAAGTTTAATATATTATATGTATAAGAGCAAGTCATCTTACCATTAGTAGACCTCATTCACGAAGCCGATCTATAAGGGGGTATAAGGTTACTGCCTATAAAATGGCAGTTTAATGGGTGTTCACTCTCACCCACCGCTTCCTTGACTGGTGGAGGGTCGTTAGCCGAACAGGTAGGACAAGGACTATAATTCTCCCATTCATTATAAGTATAATGATAAATACTAAGTAACTAAACACTTATAAATTCCCAATCTTAGTTACTTAGGAAAATGTGAATAAGGTGCTAATCCATGAAATTACACTTTGCACTTTGTTTAAGCCGTTAGTGGAGCGTGTGTGGTTAACCGACACACTAACCTGGACTTAACAAGGTAGGCAAAGGGTAACTTAATGTTTATCATAGTATCGTTGGAGCGTGTGTGGTTAACCGACACATCGATTGAGGGGTAAATATTAAGGGTACCAAGTATATTTGCATGGTTACTTCACACCTTGTTTTGTGATCCTCGGCATCCCAGTCACAAAACCTGAAGGGCACACTCGAGATTGAAACATGCCATTGAAAAGTTCAATGAATCTCAAAAGAATCTAGGAGTTTCAAAACCAATTAAAACCTAATAATACATTTCGTTTATCTTGGTGGAAATTGGTGAATCGTC